GGCTTGTGCTCGGCTGGGCGGGAGTCTGGCTGCTTTTCCTGCCCCGCTGACTGCTTAGGGGTTAAGGTCATTAATAAAAACACTAGTATCTTTGCACTTCAGGAGTCTAAACCTTGGTTTCTTCTTCTAGCTACCTTTATTCCCCCCTATAAAGTGAAAACAACAAAAGATCCATCGCAAAATGCTGTAAGTAGTTATGTTATAGTGGAGGGGCGTGGTTCTGGTGCTACCGTTAGAATTTGGGTATCAGTGCTAGCTTTAAACCACAGTAGGTACTGGGGCCTTGATACATCTTTAAGCTCTGCTTATGCTCCACATAATCCATGACATTTGTGTTGGCTCAATGAGCAGAGGATATGCCCTTTAGTGTGGGCTCTGATTCATTGGGAAGTGTTTCTACTCTAAGATTGGTGCGAGGCAGGAATTTAGAACGGATCATATTTGAAGCTCTGTGTGAGCAGCGATGCTCCTCTAAGGGAGTAACTTCCTGTCACTTGCCACAACTTTTGCATTCCAATGTTATTGTCAGTGCCTGTTACTTGGGGTTTTGAGATTGGCACATGAATGTTTGCAGGTGAGAGCATTGCCTTCAGCCTGTGGAACTGATTCAGCCTGTGGCCTGACAGTGATAGATTTTGCCAAGTTTCTTGTAAGGCTCTAGAGCTCTGGAGGGTGATGTTTCTGTTATGCAAAGTTCAGTCTTACATCTGAGTTTTTATGTAGGCAGGGTGGTCAGTGCTTTAATCTTGTTTCGCTTTTTTTTTTTATTAATAGCTGTACATGGTTCTTAGTGGTTTATGATAAATGTTATATAAGGGTGAAAGCATAAGTGGTCTGCAGCCTTTACATGGCTGGCTGAGTTAACTGTGGATTAACTTTGCCTCTGTTGGAGGTAGAGTAGGAAATTAAATAACACAATTATGTGGCCCATGAGGGTGAAACAGTTGGCATGTTTTTTCAGTATTCAGACTGTAGCACACATACCAGATGAATACATTGTTCCTGTAATACCTCAAACTCACTATGTTACTCTTGTCTTTGGATTCAACTTACTGCAGTACTCAGCAGAGCCAGACACGAGACAGTGAAATACTGCAGCTGCATACAGCACTGCTGGTCGTAAGTCTGTCAGTACAGCACACCGGACATGCTTTGGTTTCTTGCCAAATTAAACAGTTGTTATGCTCTTAGGAAGTACCAGCCTCTAGATAAGATACAATTGTTCTAGCCAGCGTTAATTCTCCCACTGTATGTACAGGATTGCTGCTGATAAGCACGCAGAGGACAGTAAGAAAGGCTATTCATAAGAATTGTTGCAGAGAGCCTGATGACAGATTTTGTGATATGTTGCTGTGAACCAGTTGCAATGTGTGTTTCTCTGGAGCATGGTCTTCCAAAGCGCTGCAGCCCCTGTGTAGGCAATAACTCCTCACTCATCCACAGTGGTTCTGTGGTTTACCAAACGTGGAAAGAGTATTTATTCGGAGCACAACAATGTTGCTAGGGATGTGTGTTAGGTGGATAGGCAGACCTGAGTCTAAGTGAGTTTTAAAAGCCATCTGTCCCAAAATGCAAACTGTTTATATTGTAGTCTGTCTGTGAGATCACAGGATAGATCCAGGATAAAATGAATTCCAAATTCAGTGCTGAAATGGCAGATCTCTCTTGATGTGTCATCAACAGTGCCTAAATACACATGCATGTAGTACATGTGCTGTATTATCCTGAAAGGAGAATAGCCCGGAATTTAAGGTTATTCTTTCTGACCTGTCTCCCTCCCACCCCAAAAGTTATATAGGAAAAGCTTACTAAGTATTTGAATTAGTATAGAGTATAGATAAAGGCTTTTTGCTAATGACTTAGTTAGCAAGGGGAATGCTCCTCGTGGGTGTATTCAAATGACATGTACTACTAGTAATGGAGATCACCGTTAGAGAAATAAATAGTCATCTTGTGGTCATCCCAGGAGCAAGGAAGCCCCAGCTGCGGGAGCTTGATGTAGGGAATGGGTCCTTTAAAGACAATATAGAGGCTCTTCCCAGATCACCTCCAGTCAAGGGCTCATGCTGTAGCTCCTGCGGGGAAATGAAAGCCCAATGCAGCAGTTTTCATCAGAGGGTTGGGTAAATGCAGAAGTTGTGGCAAAAGAATTGCTGGTTTGCATGCTATGCTTGGTGAAACTGAGGCTAGATTGTTTTGAGTTTGAACAAGAAGTTGAAATTAGTGAAGACGTTGAAGCTGAGGCAGTAGTTAAAGACAGAGAAGAGCAACAGTGATGAAATTACGATGGGGGATGTCAAGTGTAAAATCCAGAAGGCAGTAGAAATAAAGGATAAGAGAAGAAATGAACTTTAGGCAATCATTAGTGAAAGTAAGTATCTGTACTGCATATTCAGTACAGATAAGTAATAAAATTCTTGTATGTGGTTTTGGGAGGGAGGGGAGAACTGTTCAGTGTTCAAGGTTGTTTTGCTTTTAGGTTAAATCTGTGAGTTCAGCTTACCGTTATTGTTAGGGCTAACAGTAATCTACATTATCCAGCAGGACTAAAAGGCCAGGGGCTGAGATCTTAAATCACAGTGTTAAGAGAAGTGTAAAGTTCCTTCGGCTGTCCATTGCCCGTCCCCACCAGCCCTGCGGTCTCAGTTAAAGCTGTCACCTCCTATTGCAGCGTGTTGTTGTTCAGCAGCCACAAGTAGGTCACGTAGCACAGATGGTCTTGCTGCCAGGGAAATGCGGAGTCTGCAGTCCCCTCTGAGGCTGTTCCCTGGTCACACTCTCTCCCTTTCACACACTTAGGTTGGAGACAGTAGAATGAATTCTGATGCTACCAACCATTTTATCTGGTGTTCACTGAGGCTGAAAGCATAAAGTAAAGCTGGTACAAAAAATAGCAGGAGTGAAAGTAATGATGGGGTGGTTAGAAGGGAGGCTGGACTGGTGCTTTATGAAATAGGGCATCACCGTATTAGGGGGTTTTGTGGGCTTGACATGCCTGCACCCAGACTGACAGGGACCCTGATTGCCATAGAGCTGCTCTGCTTGAGCTCCAAGAGCAAAACCAGGGATAACATTGTCAGTATATGTAGGTTATTAATTTGTCGTTGTTCTTGTAGCATCATAGCACCCTGCATCCTTCATCTATTTATCCATAGACTGTCCCTGGGAGGTACAGTTGTGCTGGTCTGATCTAATGTTATGTGTGCCATTTAAAATTTCTTCCTAAATATAATGGCTGAGGTCACACATTCGCTCTCCACTATCACACTGCCATCTCCTAGTTTATTTCCCCATCCACTGCCTTATCCTTCCCCTCTCGTTAGCATCTCTAGTAGCTGCAGAGCAATGGCAGCTCACCAGCACAGTCTGGGTAAATACAGCGTGACATCTGCCCACCCTGTTACCTGAGCGCTTTTATTTACGACATTTCATTGCTTTTTATGTTTTCATTAAGTACCTTTCAATGTTTTGGGTTTTTTTAATGCTGCCACATGCAATTATAGGCAGCATGCTCTCTTAGTCTGCAGTTAGGAAATTCATACTGCTAGAAGCGAGGCAAATCAGAGACTGTGGTGACAGAGTAGCCAGAAAGATCAATTTCAGCTTATTGCTACCAGGAGACTCCAGTGTTG